TACATACATACATACATACATACATACATACATACATTAAAATGCCTTACCCGGTGTAATATTATAGAGGACCACATTTCTTGTAGGTTTCACTATGCAGCTTTCCAGCACTGGGCAATACATGTGAATGCAGTTTATAGCATGGATATTGGTTTTGTAGTAGAAAACAGCCAAGTTACAGAAAACTAGAAAGTAGAGAGAGACAGGAAAGTTTTTAGCTGGCCTGTAGCAAAGGGTCCCGCTGGATGAGCTTTATGGGATTGTGGGACTTATTAATTTAAAAAAAAGCCAGCCCCCCCAATTAGGATGCTTTTTTGGGGGAGGGTGGAGAGGCTTCATGGGATATTATCCATTTCTCACAAAACTCCCAGTTCTACAGAACACACCGGATCAGAGTATATTAGACACAGGGATTCTTTAAAAAGTAGGGCTTGATTGATTGACTGAGTTGGTGTCAACTTCTTAGCAACCACACAGATAGGTGTTCTCCAGGATGATACGTCTCTAGCCTGCTCCTTCAGGTCTCCCAATGGCACCCTACTGCCCCTGTAACTGAGTCCATCCAACTCACTGGTCATCCTCTTCTTCTCTTCCCTTCCTCTTTTCCCAGCACTTCTCCAGGGAGCTAGGTCTTCACTTGATGGATCACAGAACTGATCTGACATGAAACCTAACGGAGAAGCCAGCATCCAATGCAGGACCCAGCTGCCTACTCTTTAAACCAAATGTCCAGCCAACTGAACATAAAACATTTAGGTATACAATAGGACCTAATGAATAGGAGGTCTTCTACCCTAACAACATGCGAGAGTCCAATCAAATCACTAAAGATCAAGTTGAACCTTTAAGCCAGGGGTCTTCAAACTTGGCCCTTTTATGACGTGTGGACTTCAAGTCCCAGAATTCCTCAGCCAGGCACGTGTGCCTGGCTGAGGAATTCTGGGACTTGAAGTCCACACATCATAAAAGGGCCAAGTTTGAAGACCCCTGCTTTAAGCTGATCCATGTCCCTTTGTTCTTGAAATAAACCTGTGAACTCATAAACTGGGGCCCTTCAGTAGTTTTACATTCCAATCACATAACACCCAATCTATAATGGGTCGTTGTGATAATGTGGCAGTGATGTCAAGACTGAGTTGAAGCAGGTTGCTTAAATCCACCAGTGATGCTCTCCACGAACATAGTAGAGGCAGCTCATGCCACAGCCGTCTGAAAAACAGAAATGCTAAACATTATAACTCTCTAGGCCTATCACTTTCCACCCCCAAATCTTGGTCAAAAAGGATTAAGCAGATTATCTTTCTAATGAGTTGATGTTTTCATACTTTTTGCCTAAGCATTAAGACCAGGTTATATGCTGGCAGGATTATGTGTCAGAATACCTAAATACGAAAACAAGGATTTTCTTGTGCCAGATCAATATTCCAGTAATAGATGGATTTAGTCCTTCGGCTCTTGTTTCAGTTAGTCCCTTTATCCCACCAGCTTGTAGCATGCATGAGGGACAGAGCCCTGCAAGAGCATTGTTCTTTGTTTGAAAGTTCAGCTCTGAACTTGCCTGAAGAAATGCAATGAATGGCTTGGAGAGGCTTTAAAAGATTGTTCTAGCATCAGAGTGTTGGGATAGTAGCCAATAATAAGCAATAATAGGAAGCACGTGGAAAGGAACATGCACTAGGAAAAGCCATTATAATTTCATTCATAATTCCAAATTCACTTTCAATCTCAGGCAAGCAATTTCAACAGAAAAAAACCCACCATTCTTGTAGATGGAAATGCATTGGAAATTAAAGAGCCCCCAAGCCTTTGGGTCGTTGGTTCCATTCTCACGCTACTATTACGCTTAGGAACCTAAGACCGTGAATGCTGTATGGTGTTAAATTGTTTTGCAAACTTTTCCTATGGTTATAACCTCTTTTGCATTTTAGTAAAGCAAGACTCCTTACTCCCAAAAACTATTTCAGAAAAAAAAAGTCTATGGAGATTCTCAGTCATCTGGATCACGGTGGTCCCAAAAGTGCTTTTTCAAAAGGCAACTGGACTTTCTTGTTTTTCCTTAAAGACATTTTGCTTCGCACCCAAGAAGCTTCTTCAGTTCTTTCTCCCTTGAGTTATTAGTAAAAAATAATAAAGGTGGGATAGAAAGAAAAAGAAAGAAAGAAAGAAAGAAAGAAAGAGAAAGAAAGAAAGAAAGAAAGAAAGAGAAGAAAGAGGGAGGGAGGGAGGGAAGGAAGGAAGGAAGGAAAGAAGGAAGGAAAGAAGGAAGGAAAGAAAGAAGGAAGGAAGGAAGGAAGGAAAGAAAGAAAGAAAGAAAGAAAGAAAGAAAAAGAAAGGAAGGGAAGGAGGAAGGAAGGAAGGAAGGAAGGAAAGAAAGAAAGAAAGAAAGAAAGAAAGAAAGAAAAAGAGGGAGGGAGGGAAGGAGGAAGGAAGGAAGGAAGTATAGAGATCAAGCCAAGTATAATCTTTCAAAATATAATCTTTTATGTATAATCAGTCTCTTATGTATTACAGCTATTGTCCATTTATTTTTGCTTGCTTTCTGTATGTGCTCCATTGTATTCTAAACTGTGCTGACCAAAGAAAATGTTTCTGTTACTTTAAATGGTGTTGTTTCAAGAGAAAGCCTAGCTAAGAAATTGCAACACCTCTCTCTCCTTGGATTGTAAATCTTTTCCCTTCTTGTTTCTCTGCGGTGGCTTTAAAATCTAACAGCTCTCTACCCCCTTCCAGGTAATAAAGTTAATGGGCTAATTGCCAGCTATTATGCCATTGTGTGTTCAAGCTTAGAGATGCAGAAGTGTAAAGCCAGGACAGATAAGGAGATTCAAAGGAACTTTTTAGATGCGTAGGAACCTTGTGATGTTTGTTGGTTATAAAAAGCAAGAACTTTTTGATTACGTGCTCTCTCTGCTCTCCATCTTCTCTGCTGTCTAAAGGAGAGTGGAGTGCCCAGCATATATTCTTTGATCAAAGAAAATAAAGCTGTGTTCAGAGTCTAATTGGGATTTATTTGGATTCTGAGCTGAAAAACCTGAAGGAAGGAAGGAAGGAAGGAAGGAAGGAAGGAAGGAAGGAAGGAAGGAAAAATGTCCTGCCTTGCTTTTGAACAGGTTAAAAAAAGAAATATATTAAATGCTGATACCCCAAGAGGCTAATACTTTTGTCTTGTGGAGTCCCTCGAGTCTTTCCTAAAGAAAATAATTCCTCACCATCCTTGAGGATGCAGCAGGCCCGGCTGCACTGTCCGGCAGTGGATGCAACGTAAACCTTGAGGATCTGTGCTCCTTGCTCCTGGGAATGCTCCAGATCAAGGGAAAGACCCGGGAACTGTCGGATCCAGCAGTTTTTGTAAAACCTGGTAGGCGAGCAAAGGCCTTCCGATCTGCACATCCAGCCCCAGAGCAGAAGGACCTCTGAAAGAGCCACTAACAGAAACATCTCAGAAACATTTCCTTGGCAAAGGTCCCTTCTCCAAGGCAGAAGAAACGCGGAGTAAGAGAAACTCAGGGCTGTCTGCCGGAGTAACCTCTTTGCAGCTGATGACCGTAATTTCCCGTGGAATTAGCAAGCTCTTTGCAAACCTACGGAATAATCGCTCCCAATCTTTGCACGGCTGCTTGAACTGCACGAGGTAGATCTTGAGTTGGCATAATAGAATAATAAAGAATTTCCAGCACCTGGTAGAATAATAAAGAATTACTATTGGGCCAGGAACCATATATAGTTTTCTCCCTCGAAAAGGGAGTCTGTAATGCATCCTAGTGGGGAGCAGTTTTTGAAGATTTCCTCACATGGTGATTTTTTTTTGATTTTTTAAAAAATTACCAATGGTATTTTAGGTCTAGAAAATCATTCTGGAACTTCTTGGTTCAGGCTTTAGAAAGGTTTTACTCAAGGTTCCTGTGGAATTGTAGCTGCTTATTTTCCTTGCTTTACAAATTACGTAAGTTGCTTCATTCAAGAACGATCCCATTAAAAACTATTCCTAAAGCTCAACAGGAATCCGTTTTTCTATCTTAACATCTTTATTGTGTATCCTGAGAAAGAACAGCCGTTGGCCTTCTTCCAATAGCAGAGTTGGAAGGGACCTTGGAGGTCTTCTAGTCCAACCCCCTGGTTGAGCAGAAGAGACCCTGTCCCTATACCATTTCGGACAAATGGCTGTCCAGTCTCTTCTTAAAAAGCCTCCAGTGATGGAGCATCCACAACTTCTAGGAGGGAAGCCGTTCCACAGATTAAATTGTTCTCACTGTCAGGAAATTTCTCTTTGCTTCCAGACTGGATTTATCCCTGAGGAATTTCCACCCATTCTTTTATAAGGATTGTACAAAAGGGTATTCGTGTTATTAGCCTAATCACCGCCATTTTGCTTCTGTAAACTGTGCTTCCGTTAGGGACGCCATTTTGTGAAGGCAGGAAGATCACGTACCCAGACCCAGAGACAAGGGAAAGAGCGGGAAAGGAAGGAAATGTGATTGGTTAATATTCTGCGCACCGACAAGTGTCACCTTGTGATTGGTTGTTGCCTGTATATATATTCTTCGGGTAGCTGCTGACCCTTACACTGTCTTGTACTGCCCTCAGGTGCTTTGGAGACTAGGTTGACCCCCTCTTCTCTGTGGCATCCCCTCCAGTATTGAAAGACAGCTATCATATCACCCTTAGTCCTCCATCTTCATTAGACTAGTCCAGGGGTAGGCAACCTCGGCTCTTTTATGGCTCGTGGACTTCAACTCCCAGAATTCCTGAGTCAGCTATGCTGACTCAGGAATTCTGGGAGTTGAAGTCCACGAGCCATAAAAGAGCCGAGGTTGCCTACCCCTGGACTAGACATACCTACAATAGTCCCTCAACGATTCATTGTCCAATTCCCTAACCACCTTTGTTGCTGTTCTCTTCATTTTTTTTTAAGTGTGAGGGGTGGTCTCTTAGACCCCCGTCGGCCTCCTCTTTTTTTGTTTAAATCCCCCCAATTCCTTCAGTCTCAAAAGAGCGGAGCAGGCCTTTCCCCCACACCAAGGACTGCTCAGCGCTCTTCATGTTAGAAATGGAAAAAGCAGAAGAATTTCCTAATCTAACCAGGAGTCTATTGTTGATGTTCATCTTATCTTGCGTGTAATGCCCAGCTCCTGGAGAGATTCCAGACACAAGAAGCATTTGAAGTTATAAAATACTGTCTGGCTATCAGCAGGCAGTACAGAGAGAGGTGTGGCCAAAATTAAAAATGCCTAATAATGTTGGCAATTTTACCAATTTTACCAACGTTCCCAATTTTATAAGAGGGAGTCAAGTGCCTGAAGGCAGGACAAGAAGAAATGGGTGGAAACTAATCAAGGAGAGAAGCAACCTAGAGCTAAGGAGGAATTTCCTGACAGTTAGAACAATTAACCAGTGGAACTCCTTGCCTCCAGAAGTTGTGGCTGCTCCATCACTGGAGGTTTTTAAGAAGAGATTAGGCAACCATTTGTCTGAAACGGTATAGGGTTTCCTGCCTGAGCAGGGGGTTGGACTAGATGACCTCCAAGGTCCCTTCCAACTTTATTATTATTATTATTAAAATTATTATTATTATTATTATTATTATTATTATTATTATTATTTATTATTTATTATTTATTATTTATTATTTATTATTTATTATTTATTATTTATTATTTATTATTTATTATTTATTATTATTATTATTATTAAATTTTATTTATTATTATTATTATTATTATTATTATTATTATTATTATTATTATTATTATTTATCATCATCATCATCATCATCATCATCAGGTTTCAAAAATTTGTAAGATAATTTTTCAGAAACTATTTCTCAAAATATATCCAGGTTCATTAGGGGGAATTTGAAGGAAAGTCGTGACGGTCATAAAGTGGGTCACTCACATGACCCAATCTTCTGACCTTTGACCTTTTTTCAGCGCCGTTGTAAGTTTGAACGGTCACTAAATGGAGGGTTGTAAGTGGAGAACTACACGTACCAGGTTGCTACTTAGGATCTCTGAAAATGCAGCAATACAGCAATTAAATGGTAAACAAATAAATAAAAGTAAATGAATGGCAGATTTCCTGATCATACGCCTTCCTAGACCTACGATTCAAATTTACCTCTTTTAAGATTTGCAAACCATCCCACCTTGTCCAACAATAAAGCGATAACTCATATTCGGTTTCTCTCTAGATTAGTAATTCTCAACCTGCCAAAAACAGAAGCAAAAGGAAATGGGTCGTTGTTATCAAAACTCGGAGATATGACATGCAGAACAAGAATAAATCGTTGATGTTTCCCCAAAATTACAATTTGGTGCAATTCCACTACAAAATGGGTTGACAAAGTCAAGGAAATTTAAACACGCAGAAAAAGGATATAGGTATTGCAAAACTCAAGGGAAGCATGCACTGCATTTGTTTCTTACCTGACTTCTTTTTTTTTTTTTGGAATTGTTTCTTCTCCAAGAGGAAAAGGATCATAAAACATTTTGTTGGGGGGAAAAACCCAAATTACACTGTCGCTTTTGAAACACCCAAGAACGATTTGCCAATGTATGCGTATTGTTTCACAGTCCGGTTGGACGCTTGAGTTAGCGTTGATTAAGGATAGATAAAAGCGCTTACTTTAGAGTCAGGCAACAGAGTGCTGCCTTTTCGCGGGATGAATGGAGAAGGAAAAATTCTTTCTTTGCATGGAGAGAAAAGAAAATGGCAGGTTCCGCTCTATTGACATTGGATACCTGGTAATTAACCCCTTTTCTGCCAGGGACCTGAGCTGGAACTTCAGAAAAATTCTTTGCCAAACAAGTAAAAATACACATATAATTTACCGCTGTACTGTATTACAGAATTACTAAAAGTAGAAGATGAAGAGAAAACCAGATTACATCTCTTTCAGGCTACACTATACTACATACTAAATTTTATGGGGAGGGTTTAAAAAAAAATCCTTAAGCTTTTAATGCTTCCCAGCAAAATATTATTTCTGTTATTTTTATAATACAACTTTTTTTTATAATCCTTGACTTACAACCACTGGTTTAGTGCCCCGTTCTAAGTTACAATGGCACTGAAAAAAGTGACTTGTGACTGATTTTCATACTGGCAGCATCCCCTTATCACGTGATCAAAATTTGGATGCTTGGCAACTGGCATGTACTTGTGACTGTTGCGGTGTTCTGGGGTTATGGGATCCCCTTTTGCTACCTTCCAACAAGTAAGGTCAACGGGGGAGCCAGATTCACTTAACAGCCGTGTTACTAAGTTAACACCTCCAGTGATTAACTGACAACTGTGGGAATGAAAGTCATAAAATGGGGCAAAACTCAATGTCTGTCTCGCTTAGCAACAGAAATTTGGGCTCAGTAGAGGCTGCAAGTTGAGGACTATCTGTATACCTTTTCCCACCTCGTTTTTAAGCGGTTGTCCACCAGGACTCCGAGATCCGCCTCACAGTTAGATCCCTGAACATGGCAGATGTTGGGTTCAATGGAAGAGATGCAAGGTCACAAGAAATCTTCATTCCCTATAATTGAGGTTCTGGAAGACGCTGGGTAGACTCTACAGCAGGGGTCTCCAATCTGGGCAACTTTAAGGCAGGTGGACTCCAAGTCCCAGAATTCCCCTGCTCTACACAATGAAATGATGATGGGCCCAAAATCCAGGGTATATTTAACTAAATCAGGGTTGAGAATGACAGCCGCCTTGGGCATAGCAGAGTGCGGTGCGCAGAGAGCCACCCTAGACAAACCAAATACCACACTGAGCATCACAGCCTTCTCAGAAGACCCGGCCTGCAAAAGAAGCAGTTTCTTCAGAGAATATGCAATTTCACTCAATTTAATTGAGGCTGTCCCGGGGCCTCTTCTTCCCTTGAGGCAGAGATTGCACCTGCTTGAGGCTGGGTTGCATAACAGACCCACAATGGGAGAACACAAGTCCTTTCTCCGCTGTGGTGATGGCCAAGGTCTCTGATCCGTGGAAGACCCTTCCTTGGAAAAAGATGCGGGGTTGGTTTCCACCCCCTAGTAACCCTAGAAAAGGGGCACCTGCACATTTTTTGAACACAAATGCCAAGAGGACAAAGATGTGAATAGGTTGTGTGCTCTGTGACAAAAGAGGGGTGGGAGAAATATCTCAAATGTTTTTATTTCAGTATTAACACTGGGTACATCATTTTGAACAGAACCTATTTCTATAACAAATATAACAAATAAAGATATGTAACAAACATAACAAACAAAGATATATAACAAATATAACAAACAGTTCCCTTGGGATGTGTTTGATCACACCCCTCCCCATAGCCTAGATTTGGCGCCGAGCGACGACTAAGGAATTTCAAACCTTGCAAGATGTTATGACAAGGGCTTCAATTTGAACGGCGATTGTGTCGAAAAGTTATGTCATGTTGTAGTTTTCTAAGCTGTGTAATAAAAGTTCTGCATCTGCGAGTCATGGATACCCAAACGGAGGTTTATTTCCGAATTGCCCTCGTATATTCTGCCCCCTCCACTTGCCCATATATGTAAATATGTGCCAGTGAACCCTCTTAAAGCTTCCTTTAAGTGTTAATACCACTTTACAAGGCCTTGGTAAGGCCACACTTGGAATACTGCATCCAGTTTTGGTCACCACCATGTAAAAAAGATGTTGAGACTCTAGAAAGAGTACAGAGAAGAGCAACAAAGATGATTTAGGGGACTGGAGGCTAAAACATATAAAGAGCGGTTGCTGGAATTGGGTATGTCTAGTTTAACGAAGAGAAGGACGAGGGAAGACAGGATAGCAGCCTTCCAGTATCTCAGGGGCTGCCCCAAAGAAGAGGGAGTCAAGGTATTCTCCAAAGTATCTGAAGGCAGGACAAGAAGCAACGGATGGAAACTAATCAAGGAGAGAAGCAACCTGGAATTAAGGAGAAACTTCCTGACAGTGAGAACAATTAACCAGTGGAACAACCTGCCTCCAGAAGCGGTGAATGCTCCAACACTGGAAGTCTTTAAGAAGAGACTGGACAGCCATTTGTCTGAAATGGTATAGGGTTTCCTGCCTGAGCAGGAGGTTGGACTAGATGACGTCCAAGATCCCTTCCAACTCTGCTATTATTATTATTATTATTATTATTATTATTATTATTATTATTATTATTATTATTATTATTATTATTATTATTATTAATATTATTAATAATAATAATAATAATAATAAAGTTGGAAGGGATCCTGGAGGTCATCCAGTCCAACCCCCTGCTCAGGCAGGAAACCCTATGCCATTTCTGACAAATACTACTACTACTACTACTACTACTACTACTACTACTACTACTACTAATAATAATAATAATAATAATAATAATAATGATAAAGTTGGAAGGGACCTTGGAGGCCCTCTAGTCCAACCCCCTGCTCAGGTAGGAAACCTTGTACCATTTCAGACAAATGGCTGTCCAGTCTCTTCTTAAAAACTTCCAGTGTTGGAGCATTCACCGCTTCTGGAGGCAGGTTGTTCCCCTGGTTAATTGTTCTCACTGTCAGGAAATTCCTCCTTAGTTCCAGGTTGCTTCTCTCCTTGATGAGTTTCCACCCGTTGCTTCTTGTCCCGCTCTCTGGTGCCTTGCAGGACAGCCTGACCCCCTCCTCTTCTTTGGGGCAGCCCCTCAGACACTGACTGATTTTCATCTTGGGCCGGTGCGACCCCAATCTCTCTCCACCCCTTCCCCCCCCCCCCCGGCTTTCTGCTCCGCAAGGGAACTTCCCACCGGCCCAAGCGGGGAGAAGGAGGAGAAGGAGGCGGAGGAGGCGGAGAGCAGCGGGCGGCGCATCCCTCCCCAGCCCGCCTCCGCCGCCTCTCCCAGCCGCCGGCCTTGTAGGGCTCTCCCGGAGCATCCCCGGCACCGCCTCCGCGCTCTCCCCGCCCTGCTCCGAGGCCGAGGGAAGCGGCGGGATGGCCGGCCAGGGGGGCGCCGCGGAGGACCGGGAGCCGCTGGTGGAGGTGCGCCTGGGCGAGCGCCGCTTCCCGCCGGTGCGCCAGAGGCGGCTGGTGGAGCAAAGCGACTACTTCCAAGCGCTCTACCGCTCGGGCATGCGGGAGGCGGCGGCGGAGGCCGAGGAGGCGGCGGAGGCGGCGGGGGGCGCCCGCTTGGCGGTGCAGCGGCTGCGCGGCGGGCTGAGCGCGGCGGGGCTGGCGCGGGTGCTGCGCTTCGTCGAGACGGCCCGGCTGGAGGAGGAGGCGGGCGAAGAGGCGCTGGCCGAGCTGGTGGAGGCCGCCTCCTTCCTGCAGGTGAGGCCCCTGCTGCACCTGTTGAGCTCCCGCCTGCGCCTGCCCAACTGCCTGCACCTGCACCACCTGGCCCAGGTCTACGGGCTGGCCGAGCTGGCCCACGCCTGCCTGGACTTCATGGCCGGACGGCTGCACCAGCTGCTGGCCCAGCCCGAGGACTGCCCGCTGCACCTGCTGCCCACCGGCCTGGCCCAGCAGCTGCGCCAGCACCGCCACCGTGGCCGGCCCGCCCTGCTGCTCCTGGGCGCCTTCCTGGACCGGCCACCGCTGCTGCGCTACCAGGAGGATGAGCGGCGCTGGGAGCCACTGCCGCCTGCCGAGCTGCCCGCCCAGCTGCTCCAGGTGCGCGGCTTCGGCTCGGCCACCCTGGACGACTACCTGTTTGTGGCGGGCGGCTACCGGCCCGGCAGCCAGGAGATCGCGGCGGCGCACCGCTACAACCCCTGGCTGAAGGAGTGGCGCCCGCTGGCCTCCCTGAACCAGAAGAGGTGAGGCTGGCCTGAAGCCGACCCGGCCTGGCCTTGGGAAGGACCCAAAGATGCTTTTTTTCAGGAGGCAACTGGACTTTCTGCTTTTTCTTTGAAGAGGTTTCGCTTCTCCTCCAAGAGGCTTCCTCGGCTCTGACTGGACGGTGGGGAGTGGAAGGATTTATACTCCTTGCAGAGAGCTGGTCCTTTGCCTCCTTTTAGAGCAGTGTTTCTCAACCTTGACAACTTGAAGATGTGTGGCCTTCAACTCCCAGAATTCCCCAGCCAGCGCATGCTGGCTGGGGAATTCTGGGAGTTGAAGTCCACACATCTTCAAGTTGCCAAGGTTGAGAAACACTGTTTTAGAGAGTGGTTGAGGCCACCTGGAGGTTTACCTGAAGGTCACCTGAGTGGTGCAAATGGGTGTGGAGCCTTCTTGGACCTGTTGCAATGACTGTGTTGTAGACTGGAGATGGATGATGTCGTATCCCTCCCCCTCTGTTGAGGGAGGGCTGTTCAATTTTGACATACATGGGGAGGGGGAGGGATATGACATCATCTATCTCCAGCCTACCACACGGTCCTTTCAGCAGTTCCAAGAAGGCTCCACACCCATTTGCACCACTCAGGTGACCCTGAGGAGACAGATACACCTCCAGGTGGCCTCAAGGACTCTCTAAAACAGTGTTTCTCAACCTTGACAATTTTAAGGCATGTGGACTTCAACTCCCAGAATTCCACAGCCAGCAATGCTGGCTGTGGAATTCTGGGAGTTGAAGTCCACATGCCTTAAAATTGTCAAGGTTGAGAAACACTGCTCTAAAAGAAGGCAAATGACCAGCTGTCTGCAAGGAGTATAAATCCTTCCATTCCCCACCATCCAGCCAGAACCGAAGAAGCTTCTGGGATGAGAAGCGAAACGTCTTCTAAGGAAAAGAAGAAAGTCCAGTTGCCTCCTGAAAAAGCTTCTTTGAGGCAACCATGGTCTGGAGGGCTGAGAATCTCCATAGACTTTGGAAGGACAGATCCTGAAGCTGAGGCTCAAATACGTTGGCCACCGAATGAGAAAAGAGGACTCATTGGAAAAGACCGGGTGCCGGGAAAGATAACGCAAAAGGGGGACGGCCTGCGATGAGATGGTTAGATGGGCATCCTCAACCCAGTGGGTGAGAGTTTGGGCAAAACCTGGAGACGGCGGCAGATGGGAACTCGGTATCCAACTCTATCGCTAAGAGTTGGAGTTGACTTAGGGATTGAACAAAACTCTGGCAGGCCACGACAGGGGAGCGTAGGGTGTGCTGGTTTCCCAGGCTTTAGGAGACCCTCCAATTAGGTCTGCCCAGGGATGCTGGACACCCTCTTCCCAAGAAACTTGCTACAAGTACATTCATTTAGTCGAAGTTACAACGGCACTGAAAAAAATGACCAACTTGCTGTCCTTGAATGCCTACTTTTGGTGCCCAATGTTTAATATTCAGACCAAGTGAAGGTAGGGCAAAAGAGTCAACCAACAAAGGGCAACAACAAAACCAAGCTTTGGGAATGATTGACTCCCCAAATAATGCTTATAAAATAACCGTTACTTGTGGTGCAAACTATGTCTAAAGTCAAATAGATTTTTTTCTCTCTCAATATAGATATATCTCTCCTGCAGGTTTCTTAGACGTTTACGCTAGGCATTTTCTCAGCTCCACTGTGAGAATTTTAACATAAACCTCTCCTTTAACTATTGCTTCCGTGGGTCCAAATGATTTAGTTTCGGGACCTCTCGATCAGATTCAGGTTTTCCCTCCAAGAAGAAGAAAAAGGAAAGATTTGGGGCCTCATCCATACGTGGGCTGACCGGGGTGTAAAACTTATGCAAATCTGTAGGACCGTTTCAGAAGCATATGCACACGGAAGGCTTTTTATTCAGCTGAATGAATAAAATGAAAGTTTTGTTGTCAAGCTCCGCTTTGTTGTCAAGCTTCAGCCATTTTTTTGTTTCTTGGCTTGCCAACAGACGCAGGGCAGAGGGGGGGAATGTTTGGCATGCTCAGCGCACCTGTCAACGGTCCGGCCTGGGAACCAACATCATCGGACGACCATTGGGCTGGAACTGAAGATTTTTCCCATAACAAATGTCTGACACTTAATTGGGGAATGTGACCAGCGCTATATAGGGAAAAGGAGGTCCTACACTTTTAATTTACTGTTCTGGCGCCATTTTCGCCAGAGCTGATTTTCTACTCATCGGTGCCGATACGCTGAGCTCAATAAAGCTTTGCATTAGAGATTGGAGTGTCTCAGCTGTGCGTCCTTCATTGGGATCATCAGTCTGAACCATGGCACTTGTACGACTTGTTGCATCGGGTTGTCGAAATAAAACACTGTGCAGCTGGAAATATTTGTGCCTTAACCTTCAACTCTTCCAATGTCTTTTTCCTAGGGCTAATTTTAAGCTCCTGGCCGTGAGTGGAAAATTATACGCCGTCGGGGGCCAGTCGCTCTCCAGCGTCGAGTGTTACAACCCGGAGCAGGACTGGTGGACCTTCGTGGCGCCTTTACCAGCTCCCCTTGTGGAGTTCTCAGCGTGTGAATGCAAGGAGAAGATCTATGTCATGGGAGGCTACACTCCAAGAGGTAAAGCCACCAGGGGCCGTAGATAGCCATACGGGGACACACCCACACCCACACACCTGTACAGGTATTTCTCACCTTACAACCGTTCCTTTGGTGACCATTGAAAGTTACGTCACTGGAAAAAAAGGGACTTACAACCGTTTTTCACCCTGGCGACCGTTGCAGCATCCCCGGGATCACGTGATCCGAGTTCAGAAACTCGGCAACTGACAACATTTATAATGTTTGCAGCATCCCGGGATCACGTGATCCCCTGTGGTGACCTTCTGGCAAGCAAAGTGAGCGGGTAAACCAGATTCACTTCGCAAACGTGTAACTAACTTATCAGTCGCAACGATTCACTTCATTGCTTTGTCAAGAAAGGCTATACAATGGGGCAACACTCCCCTTAACAAATGTCTGTGGACTGGCCATTCCCAATTCCTACAACCGTTCTTCATATGTTTTAGTCTCCAGGTCTTTAATCATCTTAGTTGCTCTTCTCTGCACTTTTCCCCAAAGCTTCAACACCTTTTTTTGTAATGTGGTGACCAAAACTGGATGCTGTATTCCAGGTGGTGTCCTTACTATTTTATTTTATTTTATTTTATTATTTTATTATTTTATTTTATTTTATTTTATTTTATTTTATTTTATTTTATTTTATTTT